ATGTTCAAAGGGGAAGGGGAACTAGGGAGAAAGAAAAGAAGGAAATGAAAAAAGGAAAAGAATGGAACAAAGCTTTTATAAGTAAGGAGGGGTGCAGGGGTTGAAGGGAGGGAAAGGCAGGGAAAGGCAGTATATCATGTACAGGTACAAATTCCCTATGATGAATGTGATCATTATGTATACCTAAAATATACCAATAAACTTAATTTTAAAAAATAAAATTTTTCTTAAAAAAAAAAAAAAAAGTTGGGCCAGGGATTTAGCTCAGTGGTTTCACCACCTGCTGTGCAAGCTCAGGGACCGGAGTTCGATCCCTGGTACCCAAAAAAAAGAATGAATACAACTATACAACTATACTTGGCAATGTGGAGATTGCACACTGTAAGAAACCCTGATTTAATACATCTGTATGCCATGAGATGCCCCTATGAATGTCCTGCAAACCCCCTAAGAACCTAAAGACCAAAGGGGATAGCGATGGTGACGGAGCTCTCAAGGCAACACCAGTATTTGAATGAACTAAAACAGGAAGGCAGGGGACAGGAATGACAGTCCAGCTCCAGGGCCTTGAGTGCTAGCTAGGCTGACCACAGAAGGTGATCCTGATTTTACAAAACTAGAAGTTTTAGGAGATGAAGTCAGGTCTGTGTAATATAAAGGGCAGGCTCTGGAGTCAGGAGGATTGGGTTCAAACTTTGGCTCTACTATCCATCAGCTTTGAGTTCCTGGCCAAACTTCTCAAAATACTCTACCCTCAGCTTCCTTCCTGTAAAAGAGAGAACCCCATCTCCTTTACGGAGCTGCTGCCAGGTACACAGTGAGCATTCGATATGTGTCAGTTGAGTTGAAATGACACACTGCTATCCACAACCATAAACATAAATTACTTTTCTGTCAAAATATTTGCTGCTTAATTGATAGAAAAATGAATCTGTCAAGTTCTTTTCCTACAGCTAACCTAAATCCATTCTATTTCAGTTAAAGTCTTTATTGTCTTGTTTAGTCATGCAAGAAATTAAAACTGACAAGTTTTCATTCTCTTTATGATAAACAAAGTTTAATAAACTTATGCCTCAGCCCTTAATCCTTCCTCCTTGGAAATCAGCATCTAGTTTTATATAAGAAAAAGGAGTTTGAATGGCAGATGCAGCCAGTTCCTCCCATAGGGTGTACTATGAAATGCTCAATAACTAGGCATGTTTACTTACCTGATTTCCTTCAGAAAAGAGACTAACAAGACATTATCCTCCAACCAACTTTACTCACTGCAGTAAAATATGCTGGGGCCGGGGCCGGGGATTTAGCTCAGTGGTTTCGCCACCTGCTGTGCAAGCACAAGGACCCGAGTTCGATCCCCAGTACCAAAAAAAAAAAAAATATATATGCTGGAGAAACTGCCAGACTATTTGGTGCCCTGGGCAGTGGGGCAGGCCCCAGGCCCAACATCTTCATCACAGAAGTCTACAGGGCATTCGGCAGATGGGCAGAAACCCAGCCACTCTGCTAAACCAGAACGTTCATTTTTTCAAAAAAGATAAAAGTTGTGTTGTCAAGACTGAAGAGCATTTCTTATTTAGCAAAGTTCTGTCTATCAGAAATTTATGGCAGAGCTGTGGGTCGGTCACACGCCTGCTCTTGTGCGACTGCCACTGAGGCGCTGTCGCAGCTGGGCGCAGAGCTCCACGGTTCAGCAGCCTCTGGTGTTATGTCGCAGAGTGGGGTCCCTCGGTTGCAGGAGGAAAACCTGCAGGGCTCCTGGGTAGAACTGCACTTCAGCAATAATGGGAACGGGAGCAGTGTACCAGCCTCAGTTTCTATTTATAATGGCGACATGGAAAAAATACTGCTAGATGCCCAGCATGAATCTGGACGGAGTAGCTCAGAGTTCTCACTGCGACAGCCCACCTTGCTCACAGACACCACAAGATACTAATAGAGCTTCTGAAATACCTACACATAGGACTGGAGAAAAAAACAGCTCTCAATCCAAGGAAGATTATATTGAGAGAAGGAAAGAAGTTGAAAGCATCTTGAAGAAAAACTCAGATTGGATATGGGATTGGTCAAATCGGCCAGAAAATATACCCCCTAAGGAGTTCTTCTTTAAACACCCGAAGCGCACAGCTACTCTCAGCATGAGAAATACAAGTGTTATGAAGAAAGGGGGCATTTTCTCAGCAGAATTTCTGAAGGTTTTTCTTCCGTCTCTGCTGCTATCTCATCTACTAGCCATTGGATTGGTGATCTACACTGGAAGGCATCTGACAACCTCCACCAGCACTTTTTGATGAAGAACTGGATCCAACTTTGTTCACGTGGTGGGGATTTGTATCTAAGCTTGTGACAGCTGACTTGAAGAGCTATCATCATGATCCTTGGGTGGCTGCACCACTTGTTTATTCTGTACATGCTGCGTTCCTGATTAGTAAAGTGAAAGAATAGACACTAAAATCATGCTGATCTGTAATTATACCTATAGGATCAATTAATAAGCATGGCAGATTAATATCTACAGTATGAATTTGGTAGTAAATTTTCTTTGGATATTAGATATAAATAATATAAATAATTTTAATATACTAGTCATCATGTATGTAGTATCTAAAAATATGTAACTTTAATTCAGTTAAAACATTTTAATATTTCAAAGAATGAATAACATTGATATTAAAATCACTACATTAAGGGGTTTGCCCAAAAGAAATATCGTGACCTTATAATTACACTATTGTAGAATATGTTTAAGTTAGATGGATGCAGATTGTCTATAAAGACCACTTAACTATATAAATTGTTCTTATAGAGAACAAGGTAGTTAGAAATTCCACTGTGAGTTGGTGAACTAAGCAGCTGTTGCTTTTCCAGTGTCAGGACTCCAGGTAGTCACCTTAGGTGGTCAGTTTTCTGACAAAGGCAGTTATTCAGTCTCTCTTACCCTTCATTACTCTGGACTGCTGGATTTAATTTTACCTGTTTGTGCTCAACTTTTGTGTGTTCTTAAAATTAGCTTTATTGTAAGCAAATCTGTGTCTACTTTAGAAGTCTAGAAGTAGAAGAAATAAATTATTGCCAAATACTTTGGAGATTATTGTACTTACATAAGATTAAGAATCAAATATCATGAAAGTTTCTTGATTAAGTCAGGCCTGTTCCCCATTATGTCATTCTTTATCTTTTCTACAGCATGATTTTTAGAAAGGCTGCATCTTTGATACGATGCTGTGTGTATTATACTGTATTTGTTTCACCTTTCCACCTTTATTTCAGGTGCGTTAAAGTAAATGTAACATTTTAACTTTAAAAAAAAAAGAAATTTATATATGAATCTTTTTCTCCCACTTCTTGAACTTATGATCACAACAGTATAAGGTTATATCCTTTGCCAATCTCAACACTTAAAAGTCAATCTGAGGGACCAGGGATTTAGCTCAGTGGTTCAACCATCTGCCTTGCAAGCACAAGGAGCCGAGTTCGATCCCTGGTATAAAAAAAAAGTCAATCTGACCAATACTAAGTTCCCAATACCACCTCCACAGTAACAATGAAAATTCCAATACATTTCATACTTAAAATATCATAGGTTATTCAATCAACGTTAGTATTATGCAAATTCCTAAAAATAAACTGTAAAGGAGCTAAAATAGCAGAAAAACAATTACTTTACCACACAGTTCATCATTTTGAGTTTTTACCAGCTAATATAAAGAAATCAGAGAGAGAATAATATTATAGCAATCCAGTTTCAAACTTTATCATCCTAATAATTTTTCCAACATATGAAGAATCATCCTGAAATTAAGATTTGTATCTTCAAGTATAACCTAGAATTTCCTTTTATTACAATAATGATCAAAGGGCCGGGGATTTAGCTCAGTGGCACTGCACCTGCCTCAAAAGTGCAAGGTAAGGAGTTTGATCCCCGGTACCAAAAAATAATAATAATAATAATAATAATGATCAAAAACACGAGCACCACAAAAACAGCAAAGAATTTTACTTTTATTAAAGAACAGAACTCAAGTAATTTTAAGCTGATAATCGAGCTTCTCAGAGCATTTTATAAATGCCTCCTCACATTAGTTCAGCTTTTATCGTATTAAGAAACAATTATGAACAGCACAAAAGTGAAATAACATCCAGAGTACTGACATAAAAGAGTGTGTCTGCTGGATTATTCTGCACAAATCTGCACATCAACCCAGAAACAGAATGGGCTTCCACCAACAGCCCTCAGGTGCTGCTGTTTGGCTTTTGAGCAGACAATCTGGCCTTGGGAACACTCGTCTCTTCTAGACAAATACTTCTCTCTGCTGAGACCATTTACAGTTACCATTTATTATGGCATTTTGGTGGATGACACAAAATGGAAGACCAAATTCCCCACTCTCGTGAACCAATATAAAGACATATTTCTTTAACTCAGATCTGAGGCCCATAACTTCCCACTCTAAGACCATACACTCCCTTTGTCTAAAAATTTCTTTGTAAAGCAGGCATGGTGATACACACCTGTAATCCCAGCACTAGAGACTGAGGAAGGAAGGTCACAAGTTCAAGTCAAACCCTATCTCAGAAAAGGAAAAAAAAAAAAAAAAAAACACCAAATTTTTTTTGTTTCCCCAGTGCTACTGCCTATCCTCCTTCTGTGGCTGATAAACTACACATCATAAAGTTCTTCACAATCTGTCCCATCTAACGTAAGTTTCCCGGCCTCCCCGCAACTTCCTCCCACACCTCAGCATCCTCATCATTTCACTCAGACCATTTACCATAATGTCATTCTCTCCCTTCCCCACCAGAATATAATTACCAAGAGTACCCGGACCAAACTGCCTCGTGTCCTGATGTGGCTAGCACCATAACAAACCTTAAGTACACATTTGCTGAATGAATGCTACAATGTCAAAGGGGCCACAAAACGACCAGAGACATTTTGGAAAGGGGGCAGCAGACCTTGAAAGCATTTAAACATTTTGTGGAGTAACTTCTGTGAATCTTACCAACTGGATCATAATGCAAAAGGGTCAATTTCTCCCGGAGTCGGCCTCTCCTGGCATTGAAGGTAATACCTGTCCCGGCCTGGCTCACCATTCTCACCAGAAGGGTTCTAAGATTAAAAGGGAAGCTGTTACAAGTACAGGAAATACACTAAACTCCATCATAAGGGGATGGAACATTTGGAGAACTTTGTGGAGTCATATAGTTGTGGACATTAGTTGGCCCTAAGAAGGTTCTATTCTAAGACTGCCTATATTTCCCATTAAACATACACTGAGGCTGGATACAGTGTCTCAAGCCTGTCATCCCTGCTACCCAAGAGCAGAGACAAGAGGATCTCAGTTCAAGGTCAGCCCAGGCAACTAAACAAGAATTTGCCTCAAAATAAATTTTTTAAAAAATAGGGGGGTGGGGATGCTGTTGAGTAGTAGTGTGCTCACCTAGCATATGCAAGACCCTGAGTTCAATCCCCAATACCACCAAAAAAAATGTTTCAGCGGTTCTGAATTCCAAAGTTTGGCCTACCACAGAAAGATTTGGTAATGACCTACCCAAAAGAGTAAGAACAACAAGCCTCACTAGAGGTCTGTCCTCAGACTTCTACCTTTCAAGAACAGATGTCAAGCTGGGGATTTAGCTCAGTGGTTCTGCCATTCTGCCACCTGCCTCGAAAACACAAGGTTCCGAGATCAATCCCCAGCACCAAAAAAAAAAAAAAAAAGAACAGATGTCAAGAGAGGAAAATACAAAGTACTGGTAACCACAGCTGGCTAGTCAGGCAATTGTAAAAATGACTGCCTCAGAAGAGCCCTCTCTTCCAGGGCATGAGCAGTAAGAATACAATCAGAAAAGGACAAAATTAAGAGACTACAAGTTCTACATCACTAATGTCCAAATCTTGAACTCCGTCATACTATATATAAGTTACAGTCAACCAAATCATAATGTCCATGTTTGCCACACTGGACTTTTTAAGTACCTGTACTGTTTGTTACTTTTTCATGTGCCTTGTCTCATGCAGACCGTTATTTTATTTCTCATGTGAGTCCAAAACAAATTTGAAGCATTTAAAACATTACATACCCTTCCATCACTTTCAATGTTCAATACAGTGCTTCCACAGAGGCATACAGTATTTGATTAAGATAAATGATAATCATTTATTCTACAAAGATTCAACAAATCTCTATCAAGTGCTTACTCTATGGAAAGTATTTTGGGAATCATAAAGCTCTCAAAGGCTGTGTCTGTCCTTTAGGAGCTAAAGCTGTGGAAGGTAAGGTGATACACAAGATATGTTTAACAAATGTCACAAGAAGGTACAAGCAACATGAGGCAGGGAATGCCTCAACAGAAACCAAAGTTACAGACTTCTACAGAATCTGGGGGTGGGAACTTTGACACAACTGGATTATGAGAAAACCTAAGTTAATCAATAAAAGATATCAGGGAGGAAACGCTAACATAAATGTTTTTCATTAAATTTTTTTTTTTTGAGACAGCATCTCACTATTAGATCAAGCTGGCTTTGAACTCACTTTGTAGCTCAGGCTGGCCTCAAATTCACAGCAATCCTTCTGCCTCAACCTCCTAAATCCAGGGATTACAGGCATACACCACCACACCCACCTACATTTAATTTTTTTTTTTTTTGTACCAGGGATCAAACTCTAGACCTTGTGCTTGCGAGCCAGGTGGTAGCACCACTGAGCTAAATGCCCGGCCTCCTGCTACATTTTAATTTTTTTTTTTTTTTGTACCAGGGATCGAACTCGGGACCTTGCACTTGCAAGGCAGGCGGTGGAACCACTGAGCTAATAAATCCGCGGCCCCCTACATTTAATTTTAAAAAGTCTAGTTTTAAGTATTTTTGATGTCTTAGGTTATTAGAAAAAAAAGCTATTTTAGACTTTTTCTTTTTTTGAAATAGTCTCCCTAGGGGCCAGGGATTTAGCTCAGTGGTGCTGCCACCTGCCTCGCAAGCGCAAGGTCCCAAATTCAATCCCCGCTACCAAAAAAAAATCAAAAAAGAATGAAATAGTCTCACTATACAGACCAGGCTAGTCTAAATCACTATTCTTCTGCCTCAGTCTCCAAATTCTGGATTACAGATATGCACTACCATGCCCACAGAATTTTCCTATCTTTAACACAGAAAATCTTCAGTTATTGTCAACAAAATCATTTTGAAATAGTAGTCTGGTTATTTCTAGTCTCTCCAGTACACCAAGGAATCCTTTCATCTGCCATTTTTAAAGTGCTTATATTACAAATGCAAATACTTATAAAAGTGATTTTTTTAAAAGGATCTATGATGTAATAAAATCATAGTTTTTTTGGCTAGATTCCTGTAGTGGACTCTTGCCAAATGACACCTGGTCCACAATTTGAGGAAAGCAGAAGACAGTGGCAGTCCAAACAGCACAGGCCCATGCTTGGTTTAGGAACAAGACAGTCAACTTACAAATCTGGGACTAGAAAAAACAGACGTGCTCCTGTAGTTAAGCAAAGTTTTCAACAGCTCACTGAAGCATTTGGATCTATGATTTTTCAGTTTTACCATGGTGTGAAATTACTCGGTAGAGGCTGGACTTCAAATGCTGATGTCTTCCCAGGCTAGCACTAAGTGGTAAGATACTCTGGTGTTGTCTGCCAGCAGCTGCGGTGGTTCTCAGTCAGCCACAAGATCACAGAGAAAAACAATAACCTATACCAGCAATGGAGAACCTTTCAGAGCTTTCAATGACAACAAACCTCCCGCTGTGGCATGAGTGCCATAAGTTCACCACCACTGACCTATACTACAGGTCTTACGGAGTACTGTGTTGCTAAGCTATGATGTTCTGTAAGTTAGTTTTATTATAATTTTCAGTTTATGATATTTCCAACTTGCAACGGGCTTATCAGTGGTAACCCCATCATAAGTTGAGGAGCAACTGTCTTTTTGAAAAAGGGACAAGGACAAAATAATCACATAAGTAACTCTCAAACCAACTTTTACAAAATCAAAGCCAAATGCTTAAACATACAAGGACACGTTGGCAGCAGCTGGGCTAACAAATCTAAAATAAACAAGCAAAGTTCAAATTAAAAACTTTTACTTACTTTGACTTGCTCTTGGCAACTTTTTGTGTAAAGAAAAGATTGAAAGAGAAAATAAAAAATATAAATTTAGTAGCATTCTTATGCAAAGTTCATATAAACGTAGTAATACAGTCACTAAAATCATTTCACTCGTGACGTCTGCTGTAAATTGTCACTGATGTACCTACTGTATTCCCCAGGCTGGAGATGCAGCTCAGCGCTAAAGCACTGGCCTAGCATGAAGGAGGCCCTAGGTTCAATACCCAGAATGGGGATGAGGGAGATATTCCCTAGAGACAACTATTCTCTATTCTAACGTTTTGTAAAAAGAAGATTAAAAGATCCAACCAGATCAATACAATTCTTACTGGAATGCTTGGCACAATCACTGTAGTTGGCCTGGCTACTTTTAATCTTTCTGGTGTAACATTTGCTCCACTTTTCCTCTTTTAAGGTGAAAATATTTGCACTGGAACAAGCCTCGGGCTTAGGAAGCTAATCTTTGCAAACTCCAACAACTATTACAAGAGGTGCAGATAGGAAACTAAATCTAAGCCGGAAGTCAGCTAGGTGCAGCAGGGAAGAGCGCCGACTGGAAAGCCAGAGGAAGTCTCCACTGCTCCCACTGTGTCATCTCGGGCAATACACGGCCGCTCTCAAGGGCGGTTTCCTCAAAGTGAGTGGCCTAGAAATTCTGAGGTCTCCCCATTTGGGATGTGCGTTGCGTCTTCTGACACATTCCTACCGAGGGCAGAAAAAAAACGCCCGCACCTCCACACCAGACCTCAACGTCCGGCGACCCGTAAATGAACCCGGATTGGCCCGGCAGATCCGGGGAACCCACTCGCCGCGGCATAAAGCGCTCCGCGGGCGGCAGCCTCGAGGCCGGCGTGCACACCCTGCCCCGCACCATTGCTGGGCCTGTCAAGGGCCCCGCTCTCGCCGCAGCCCTGCCGCCGCCTCCAGCCCACTTACAGGAGACAGCGGAAAGGAACATGGCTACCGTACCCCTGGAATCTCCGTGACTGGCATAGGGCCCAGTAAACAACTACTTCCGGGGCAGGGACAGATTCCGGAGGAGAGCTTCCGGCTGTTGCCCGGAGCCACGCCCCTCGAGAGTTTACATGTTTTTGCTCTTTACGCAGTGTGTTTTCCTTTTATAACAGTGGTTGTTGAAATCTCCTGTCTGGACTGAGACCTCGTTATCACGCAGAGTTCATACCCCAGCTCCTGATTCCCACTCCTGGACGAGGATTAGATGCTGTCCTTACTTGTTTTATCAAATAATCACAACCTTAGAGCCGCAGAAACTGAATGTTGTATTTGAGTGGCTTCAGACTACCAGCGCCTACATACATACTTCCTGAAAATGTTAGAAAGACTCCTCTAATCCAGCTCCATCTCCACTTGGAAGTTAGCAACCCTGCCTTAACTATCTATTGTATCTCCTTAATTGCTGTATCCAAACACACCTACCGTTGCATTGTGTGAAAAATAGGAGCTGAATGACTGACTCACTTGCCTAATAGCACAAAACTAGTGGCAGAGTCAGAATTTAAACCAGGTCTTTCCTGATTCCAAAGACTAATGACTTTCCTACTAGCCACTGGAACCTACCACTGTGCTATCACTAATTCTTCGTGTCTCTGTAGAGAACCTGGACTGCTCCAACACCAGCGATATCACCTATAAACTAATTTCCCGACAATTAACCAGGACTTTGGTATTGTCTTTTCTAATCTGGTATTTTAACCTACGTATTTTTGCAGACAGAATAAAATTCTATCTCATAAATTACTTTCACTGAAAGCAATAAAATTATTTAGAAAAGCCGGGGATTTAGCTCAGTGGTTCCGCCGCCTGCCTCGCAAGGACCGGAGTTCGATCCCCGGTACCAAAAAAACCCCAAAAAAACAAAAAACTAAAATTATTTAGCAAAGTCAGGGGCAGGGGATTTAGGATAGTGGTAGAGTCCTTGCCTACTATGCAAGAGATCCTTGATTTGAGCCCCAGTACTACAAAAAGAAAAAAGAAAAAAAAGAAAAAGAAAATGTAGCTCTCCAATACAATTCCATTTTTAAAATTAAAACTGTCTTTGCCCTTAGGATCTATAGGTTCTTTTCCTCCCTCTAAGAATTCTTCATACTCATCTTCCCATACAACAACAGAATTCCTTATGATACCTAAATCATTCCTTAACTATCACACTCATCTTCTGGGGGACAGGAAACTTTCAAGTGTTCAAGAAGGTAAAGTTTCTTGTCTGGTAAATTCCTTTAGAGGATTTATAACAACACAATACAAGACTGAAAGCCAAAGCACATGAATTACAGACTTTATCCCTTAGAAAGTCACTTTTGGGGCCGGGTATTTAGCTCAGTGGTGCCACCACCCGTGTTGCAAGGTCTTGAGTTCGATCCCCGTTACCAGGAAAAAAAAAAAAGAAAAAGAAAGTCACTTTTAACTCTTTAGAACTCAATTTCATTCTTAATATGGGCATCGGGTCAATGGTTCTTATCTCTGACTATGCCTAAGAGTCACTCATGATCTTTTCAAAGATCTGGGTGACAGCCAGAGTAGAGTTTGTACACTGTCTCCAACTCTTATTCTCTACTTTTATTTATTTATTTATTTATTTATTTATTTTTGGTATCGGGGATCGAACTTGGGTCCTTGCACTTGCTCAGCAGGCAGCGAAACCACTGAGCTAAATCCCCGACCTTAATTTTCTACTTTTAAAAAGTCAAATATATGAAAAAGTTGAAGGGTGGTGCAATGAACAAACTATATACCCAACTCAGCAAAATGTTATTCTTTTATACATGTACATGTTGATATGTGTGTATAAAATTCAGTGGGGTTCTCTCTCACTGAGCTGTGTGAAAGAAAATTGCAAACACCACAGCCCTTCACCCTGAAATACATTGGCATGTAGCTCTCAAGAGTAAAGTCAGTACAACTACAACACTATTTTTATTCCTAAAAAAATCAAGAGTGGTTTCCTTGCCCGTAATCCCAGCACTTGGGAGGGATTGCAAAATCAAGGCTAGCCTGGCCTACATAGACCCTGTCTCAAACAATAAAGGGTACTTTCCTAATATCTAATTAATATCTAATTAATCCTAATATCTAATCTAAAAATTATCTTTTATAGCTAGTTTCTTCAAAACAGTATGCAATCAAGGTTCATAAATTATCTTCCATTGTCATAAAGCTTTAACTTTTTCCAACCTAAAAACAAAACAAAAGCCTCCACTTATTTTTCTTCATGACACTGAATGGTTTTTTGGGGGGGGTTTTTTGGGTTTTTTTTTTGGTACCAGGGATCGAACTCAGGTCCTTTCGCTTGCAAGGCAAGCAGCGGAACCACTGAGCTAAATCCCTGGCCCAACACTGAATGTTTAAAAAAATTAACCTGGGTTCTTTTTGAGTGTTTCATATTTTGAAATTGTCTGATTGTTTTCTTACTCTACCATTTTATTTGTTCTTCTATCCCCTGTATTTCCTGTGAATTGGAAAGATTTAAAGACTTAAGTAGATTCCATTTAAAACATTTTTTTCCAAGAGGATTTCATCAGTAATGTTCTGAACTTCATACTGCAACATTTCAGGAGCTAGAATGTTTTACTGTCCCATTGCTAGTGCTAAGTTGGATAACCTCTAGATCTCTCCATTATAAAGGTACAATTTTTTCTCTTTGCAGTTTTCTCTGGAAACTTTGGTTTATGAGAATATCCTGTTCTGCAACAAAATTTCACTTCATGATTTTAGCATCCATTGATGATCTTTTCTCAGCTCAGTAATTACAATTTGGGGTTGGCAATGGTGACTCTCTAATTTCTATCATAGCTTCTTTATTAGCTGGCTTTCTTCTGTAAAGAAAAGCTTTCCAAGCTGGGTGTGGTGGTGCACAGCTGTAAATCCCCACGCTTGGGAGGCTGAGCAAGGGGATCCTGAGAGTTTAAGGCTAGGCTAGGTTAGGCTAGATAGTGAGTTTAAGGCCAGTCTGAACTACATGAGACCCTGTCTCAAAAAAAAAAAAAAAGCTCCTCCTAAAAAGACAATAAAATAGTTGTTTCTCTTTACCAATAATCATTGTTTTATAATCAACCATAGTCATTATTCTTTTTTCTGATGCTCAGATTTTCCCAAATTTGTGTGTTAGGAGCCCCTTCCCTGTGGTCCAATGTTCTTGTGACATGGTCCCCTTACTTCCTGTCACAAGCCATTTCAGTTAACCTTGTACTTTGCCCTAGCCCAAACCCTAAATCAGCTATTTCTCTAAGGTACTCTGGTTCCTTTTTGCGGGGGAGAGGAGTGATATGTCAAAGCCACAATCTCATACATAGCCATCGCCTAGATTGATGGGTTCCAAACCTCGGTGTATTGGGAGGGTGCCGAGGCAAGAACTGGGTCTCAAACCCAGGGACGCTGTACTACTACTTGCCTCTGTTTTTTTTGCTTTGGGTTGGTTTGGTTTGAGACAGGGTCTCACTACGTAGTTCAGGCTGTCCTTGAACTCATCATGTAGCCCAGGCTGGCCTTGAACTCTCAGCCTTTTGTCTCACTTGTGCCTCAGCCTCCCACATGCTGGGATTACAGGTGTGCACCACCATGCCCAGCTCCACTACTACCGGCTATATCCCCAGCCCCATTTTTTCTGTTCTGAGACAGCGTCTTGCTAAATTACCCAGTGGGACTCAAATTTACAATCTTCTGGCTTCAGCCTCCCTACATCCTGAGATTACAGGCACATGCCACCCACTGCACCCAATTTAAGCTTTGTGGGCCGGGGATTTAGCTCAGTGGTTTCACCGCCTGTTGTGCAAGCACAAGGACCCGAGTTCAATCACTGGTACCAAAAAAAAAAAAACAAACCAATTTAAACCTTGTTTTAAATCACGGAGTCTTCATTTAAATGAAACCTATCTCAGATGTTTATAGTATAAAATAAAGCTCTTGAGGGATGTCCTCAGAACCGTGGAAACTGTGGTTCCTGTGTTGTCCACCATCCCTGTTGCTCTGGATTCTAGTTTACAGTTTCGAGCCTTCCCTACAGGGCCCTTGGGGACCGGCCTCCTGCCCATGCAGAGTGGGTGCCTAGACACCAAGGGAAGGACGTGTTCCATGGGGAAAGTGGGCAGCTGTGTAAAGTGCCACTGGTGCTTGGGGCTCGAGAGGAGGCATTTGGCAGGCTGGAGGTCACTGGGGACAGTCAGAGTGTCTCTGTGGAGAGAAGGAGGCAAGACCTTGAGAGACTCACAGAGAGACAGTGTCTGTCACCTTGGCCCTGAACTGTTGCAGTGTGAGATTTAGAGCCTGTTACATCTGCACCCTCCATTCCCTGGCTTCTCCCACCTTAGTATGTGACAAGATCGTTTTTCTAGTTGCTCAAGTCAAAAACAAACTTGCCACGTCTTTCTCACACCCATCAGTAAGTCCTGCCACTCATGTTACCTCATCAATGAGGACTTCCCCAGCCACCTTGGTAAAAGAGCAGTCTTCACCTTTGTTCTGTATTTTCCTTAAATGGCACTAACTAATTGTAATTTAATTGTACTTACATAAATTTTTGGTCTCCCTGTCATCCTTGTCCTTGAGACTATAACTTAAGATCTGGAACTTTGTCCTATTCCCTCAGTGCTGTATTCTCAGTGCCTAGAACACTGCCCACCATATCTGGCAAATGAACGGATCCACAATGAGAAGCATCATACAAATGTCCAAATATCAATAAATGTTTAAGTGGAAAATGATAAGTGTTTGTATATTGTCAATAGTTTCAGGGTTTATAAAAATATTTAGGTTTTTTTGTTTGTTTGTTTGTTTCTTTAGACAGGGTCATACTGTGTAGCTCAGGGTGGCCTTGAACTTATGGAAATCCTCCTTCAGCCTCTCAAATGCTGGGATCACGGGCATGCACCACCACACCTGGCTTTAAGCTTGCTTTTAAAAAGAGATAGCATGTGAGGCAGTGGTTTTCTAGTCTCATTAGTTAATGCGGGATCTACCTGTTATATACACGTAACACATTTTTGGCAGCCAGTGCTGATTAAAATGTTTATTAATTA